AAGATGTCCTTTTTACAGGGTCGTTCCATTTACAAACCAGTGCATGAAGCCAGAATGTAAGACTTGATACAAGCCAGGCAGCAACACTAAATCAAAGCCAGTAAATTGCCTTTTATTTCTGCAGCTTGTTCTCCTTTCTATTCCTGGGGAGGAAGTTTATTAAATGTAAGTTAACAGGAGCGCTAATTGAAATTGAAGAAATATGCTACTGTAATCCTTTCTGAAAGGTACTAGATTTATTCCTACTTTTCTGATTTCTCTAGCAGTGAAAGGACCATGGACCTGGTTTTGGAAATGTGCAATACAAATTCCATCCACTGGTGTGGAGTTTCAGGAAGACAGCTTGGAAAGCTAAACCCCAGTTCATCTCTTTATCTTGCCCTCACGCTGCTTTCTTCTGTGCAGGGACTGCAAGTATGTGACTTTTTTTTTTTTTAGTAATGTCAAGTTTGTAGGCATCACATTCACCTTCAAATTGCAATCTAGATTTTGACAGCCACTTATACCAAGTTTTGTTCTTATTAATTCAGCCCTTTATACTCTTGACCAAGTAATGAAAACCCTCTTTCTTTCTCTTTTTTTCTCCCACCAGAGTGTTTCTGGCTTACGACTAACAGACACATTCTTGAAGAGAACATATGAATATGATGATATTGCTCAAGTCTGTGTAGTGTCGTCAACCATTCAAGTAGAAAGCTAAAGAAAGTCTTTGGTCTTTGTGGTTTCTATGATATTTCTTTAAACAACTTTTTCTATTTTTTTTAATCTGAATGTTAAAAATGTTTTACCATTAGGTAAATTATTAGGAATATAAGCACATCACAAGCAATTTTATTATTATTTAAATTTCTTCCCTGAGATGGTAATGAGACTTTGGATATTCTAGACACAGTGTTATAGTTCAAAGTCTCCTGACTGTATCTTCTGTAAGACAATAAATTATAATTCTTCACATCTATATTTTCTGCAGTATTACCTCACTTGGACTCATTGTAGGTAGGCACCAGTTCCCTTCCTTTGTCAGAGGCTAGCACTTGAAAATGATGGGGCCTCACTAACAATGCAGCTGTCATTTTTCATTCAACTCTAGGTGGCAACCTAGGTAATAGAATGCTTTCAATTAGAAGGTTTATGGAATTCTAACTATTGCAGCTTAAATAAAGAATTCATAACTGTTCTATTCAGCCTGCTTCTCCCTCTCTCCACTTCTACCCCTGACGCCGCCCCCCAGCTTTTCAGAGTAGACAGAATTCTCAAGGATAGTGTTTAGAATGACCGAGGCCAGTCTCCCTCATTTAATCTGTGATATTTACTACCTAGATGTATAAGTGCTTATCTAATAGGCTTAGAAATTATTGGGAATGTCAGGCAGTGCTTTATATTTAAAACACATGAAGCTTTCTTTTTTCTCCTGATATTAACAGTTTTGTCTTAGTCATAGTAACATGGTCAGAGTTGGTCAAGCTCTAACAGTTATTCCTCCCACAATTGGGCCTTGTTATAACTGTGTGATAACTTACCCTTCTTATTGCTAAATAAGGAGTCTAATGGAATTTTCCCATCTCGCAAATCCAGGAAATGATTTGCTGCAACCTAAAATCTACCACTCTTGCCACGATGATTTTCACCGTTCTGATGTTGATATCTCTTGTGTTTGAAGTCTAAGTGCTTCTTGTATTTATTTTCTCATGATAAATTGCCCCTTATGTTTAATTACCAAACTTGCTTAGCACTGTCACACAGCCAAAGAAAATGCTGAATATACAGTGATGTGAAGCTTTTTTTTATATAATAATAAAGCTGTTTGAACAGTGTCAGCAAAATAAAAGCTCTTAAACCATTATGTAAAAAGCAATACTAATTTGGCAAGCTGAAATAATTAAACACTATACACACAATTTAAGTGTGTGGCTTAAATAATTTAAAAACATCCATTTGTTTTAAATGCATAAGTATTTATTAATTACCATGACAAACTGTTGTTGGCCTAAAATGAAAGTGATTTCAGAACATGGTTTGCCACTTTAATTGGAATACTCCGTATGAAATGTCCTCGGTGTAAAATAAAGTGCAATTAGTTAAAATTATAAAGTCTTTTTCTTCCTCCTTCTCAGTGATTAAGATGAGTTAAATGACAGCAAAACCATGTAGCCAGTATAATTGGCACTTTAGTTTTTCATCATACATTTTCTCATGAAGGACCCTTCTGTTTTTTCCCAGATTCAAATGGAAAAGCATTTAATGTGTGGTGGTCACTTGGGAATTGTTACATTGTTTGGTTTCAGGATTATAAAGCCTCTTCTGTTAATATACAAGTAATTGGACCCTCGCACAGCTTTATACTTTCACTTGTAGTGTAACCCTGTAACATTAGATAATGCCATTAGTTAGAAAAGACAAGTACTTGTATTACACATAAACTGTAAAAGATAGGTACGAAACTCATTCTTTGCTGTGTGGTACATGAAATGGATGTTGCCACCTAAGCACAAGTCAAGGATTACATACAATATCTTAATACAACCATAACAGCAGAAATCTACTTAATGAAGTTGAGAAACTTTTTCTAAGTCTTCTTCATCAATAGAGGGAATTAAACCTGGGGCTCCTGGAAATCCCTACATCAATGATATCATAATTCTGGACACACACTACCACCTTACGTCACAAAAAAATTAAATTGAATAAACAATAATATATAACTTGATCAGAACAGGTTCCCATCTGGACATACAAAAACTGAGAAAGTTCAAGGGATGTTTTTGGAATCTTGAGCAGAAGGAAGGACTACAAAAATTTCACCCAGTAAATCAATAAGGGGGATTCTTCATCATGCATAAAGATGACAAGACGCCCAGCTCCTAAACCTGATGAGAGAGAGACAGAGGAGATTGTTTTGTGTAGCCAAATGTCCAAATAAATCACAAATCCTGAGGAGCAGACAAGAGCTAAGATTATATGATTTATATATCAGATCGACTGTGTTTAGTAAGATGAAAAATCTTAGGAAAGAGATCTTCAGAAGTCAAGAAGGGTTAAAAGCAGGAAGTAGAAATAGTTCCATCAGCCAAATATCCTTGCACTTCACATAAAACAAAGGTGATAGATGGAAACCACTTTCATACAGAACATCATAATTTGACTAGAAGCACTAGAGAGAATAAAGAAATGAGAGTTTCAAAATATTTTTTAATGTGCTCGAAAAGAGTACGGCCACTGGTAAATCTAACATCAACAGCTGATATTTGCAAGGGTGATTAGTTATTCATTAAAATCAAATTGACTTCTGGCAAGAGGCCAGAGTCAAGCTGCAGAGGTATTTTGAAGGCTAGTAAGGTTTCATGCGAGGTAACTGGGAGCAAACCAGGAGTACAAAGAATCTGGCCTTGAGCCCACAAGATGTATTAGTTTGGGTAAAATACCTGAAGCCACTGAGTAAGAACTAACCTCTTCTTTCAGTATTTCACATACATAATACATTAGTACTCACCAAGGCAAGTTTGGTCATTGTCCTTCCCTTTCCCACTCTCATCTTCCCTGCCGGATAGGACTATGGCTTTATACCTATTCCCCCTGCTTCATGAAGCCTAACTCTTAAAATATTTTGTTTAACTGCAGAAGAAGCTCTAGTCTCATGGAGAGGGATAAGAGAAGGGTTCTTTTTTCAACCACAATAGAAAGAAGATCTGGGCTGAGACCTTTGGGAAGATCAGTGGTAGCAGATTTTCTGCCACCATAATCATACTGTATTTTATCTGAATAGAGAGCTTAGTAGTTATAGCACCTCCAGGACGTTCCCTACCCCTATCCAGATGGGGTGAAGTCAAGATGAATAGAGGAGCGATCTTTGGCAGGGCTTGCCTCAGAGCAGAGAAAGGAGTCATTAGGATCAAGCCTCTGTGCAAAGAGAATATCTGAACCAATGGAGAAGCCAAAGGGAATCGATAGTGATGACGTCAAGCTGGGTGGATTGGATTAGGTTAAATTATTTCCTAGTATCTTTCTATTCCCCATACCTAGCACATACTACATGCTTGATAAATGTCAAGTTGAAAGAAGAAAAACCTTGAATTACCCCCAGTACCACCCCCCCAAAAAAAGGAACACAGAAAACTGCTGGCTCTGATAGACTAGAAAAAAGAAAAACTGATGGGGGTGGGGGGAGTTAACCTGGTGATTATATGGAAAAGCTGATTTTCAGCAATCCCTTCTTCAGAAATGAGAAGTTGGGTGGTGGAGGTAAGAATACTCAAAATGAGCTAAAAGGTTGAAAATAAGAAACTACTGGCATTGACAGAAGATCTGAAAAACAAATTGATAAATGAAAAAAGGAAATGAAGTGCTTGGTGATTCTCTCACAAGCCCTCTCTCATAATACTTAACAAGATTTGTGGATTGACCCTCTGTTATGACACTAGTGACCTACCCTGGATGCAAGTAGTGACCTAAAGGACATCAATCAGCAAATGTCTGGCTGGAAAAGGAGCAAGAGTAATGGATAACAGATGGACCAAGCCATATTTGAACCCATGAAATGTAGAAAGAACTTAACAAAAGTCTCTGATACATGTAGCTCCTCTTTGAAGGGTCTCTAGAAGAACAAGGATAAAAATGTCACCGGATAAAAGAAGGCATAGTTGGGCTGTGATCTGTACCAACAGCAGGAATCAAGGATGAGATCACAGATATGCTGATGTCCAGTGGCTTACCGTACATGCCACACACAAATGTGAGGTTAACATGGGATTAAAACCCAATCGAGTCCACTGTTTTAGCCACAGGCCTCTTTAGTAGTCTCATAACACCTTTACTTTTCTGATTATAGCATCATGCATGGAGTGGAACACTTGTCATGTCTCTGATAAAGGTGATGGTTAAATTTTATATTTGACAAGAGACTTAAAAACAGATGGCTGGCATGCCAAACTAAGCTTAAGGAAGCAGATGATTGTACAAGCAAGCAATATTAGTCACAGTCAGATATCATTTATGATCCATCATAAAATTGCCAAGATCAAAAAAACAATGTTTATTAGAACATAATTAAATGCACTTAGAAAACCCTCAAGTCCAAGCCATTGATTTATTTGAACCTAATGTATATAATGACCCACGTTAAGTTTTGTTTTGTTTTTTGCCTGTGGTGAGGTTTCCAGTGGTAAAATTGAGCTAGTTAAATGATAACATTATATAGCTGACTTATGTATCACCACAAAAGATTTCTAAGCATATTTCATTATGCACATTCATATATATGCATATGTATGCATATTTATACAGAACACAGCTGGCCATGCAAATCCTACCAGTACCACACTGTGGGTAAGACTCTCTGAGGGCTGTTGTGTAGAAAATCTAGGCATCCCATCCCCAATTTCATTCTCTGCATCTCCCTCCTTTCTCTCAATCTCCATTCTAACCCGCCACACCTCACCCCTGGCTCCTCGACCTTGTTTTTTGCCCTCTAAATTAATTATCTTCTGCTCCTCCATGCTTTCCTTTTCACCAGCTTCTAGTTTTCTTCTCACCCATTACCATGAGCAATGCTAAATTAGCTGACACTGGTAACTATAGTCTGGATCGTCAGATCTGAGCAATGTCAGATTGGAACCCGCCAAGAGTGAGGGCGAGCTATGTGAGCCCTGGCTCTGTGCTGCTCAGGTGCAAAGACAGTGCTTCTGAGACACAGAGCAAAGATGCCTGGCTTGAACTTCAAATGAATAAGGTGGCACTGAAAAACCTTTCCCCACTTTGCCCCAACAGGTATCTTAAAGGGATTCTGAGCCAATCCTTACCACCAAACAGCCCTAGTGTTCAGTTAATGTTTCCTTCTGTGAAGAGGCCCTGACACAATACTAATACACAAGACAGAGACTGAAAATAGAATCTTGTCAACTATTATGTTGGTATCCTAGTTAACAAGGCTATTAAATATTCATTTACAAAGGAATCACTCTACGTACAATGATATGTTCAAGTCTGTGAGTGGTAAATCTATTTTCTAAACAGATTTATTCTTAAAGAAACACACCAAGGGTTTTCTTTTCATCTCATTTCCAAGCAGCAGAGTTAAAATGGTGCCCTTTCTTTCTCCTCCCCCCCTCCCACCCCCCAGCTAACTACAGTAAACATGTCAGGCCTATAAAACCATTCACATTGTAGTTCTAGGAGATGAGTCTCCCATCAAGTCAGGAGTGCTCTTCAGTGCTGCTGCTGAAGGATCTACTCCGGACATGATTTCTCAGCTGCTCAATGAGCTCAGGATTCTGCTGCTGTATCTGCTGAGCAAACTGCTGTCCCCTGCAGCAAACAGATAGAGGGCAGTGAAAGAAGGAAAAATAAGCCAAAGATATAGAACATATGCAAAAGGAAACGGAGACAAGACTGGAAACACAGTTGTGCAGAACATGCAAATGCTACCAATACCACACTGCAGGTACTGTGCTGGCCTCTCTGATGCTCAGAACACTCCAGGACCCAATTCTAAGCATCTTTACTGGCTGCCTCCCATGCTCGGAACTCTCCCCTCTCTCCTCCTCCTGGCTTCCCTGGTTTCCTTCCTCACCTAACGTCCCACCTTCTGCAAAAAGCTTTTCTCAGTCTTGCTTAATGTTAATGACTTCCTTCTGAGACCACCTTCAATTTTATCTTATTTGTACATAGTTGTTTGCATGCTGTCTCCCCCATTAGATTGTGAGCTCGTTGGGGTCTGGGATCTTTCTTTTCTTCCCTTTTTATTCCCAGAACATAGTATACAACCTGGCACAAAGTAGGTGTTTAATAAATACTTGAGGACTTGACTGAAACTGTCCAAAATGAAAGCCTGTAAAAGGAAAATTCATCTTCCTAAATAAAAAGCAAGTTGCTGTTGTTTAGCTGTGTCCAACCCTTCATGAATTTGGGGTTTTCTTGGCAAAGATACCGGAATGGCTTGCCATTTTCTTTTCCAGTAGATTAAGGCAAACAGGTTAAAGTGACTTGCCCAGGGTCACACAGCTAGTGTGTGTCTGAGGCCACATTTGAACTCAGGTCTTCCCGACTCCGGGTCCAGTGCTCTATCCACTGAACCACCTAGCTGCCTCTGCTTAGGCCTGCTCCATTCATCTTCTGCTGGAGAGTCCAAAACCAACAGACAACGTAGAGTGAAGGTCTGGCTGAAGTCCCTGGGCAAAATCAAGGCACCTCCAGAAAGCATTTAGAACTGAGCAAACAGAAAAAACTAAGCTGTGAACTTAGAATTGACACAGGAGGACTGCAATATACTGGTGTACCCCGAGAGGGAACTGTTAAAGACATAATGATGCCTGGGGTAGGCCTCATTTAACTATCGAGTTTTCTTTTGCACAGTATTTAACATCAGGACTACTGTCACTTAATCCTCATATTGGCAATAGTATCCATCAGAGAGTTGGGAAAGTCATGCAGCATGCAAGCTCTCCTTGGATAAGAGCAGACATTTTTACAGAATTCTTTATGAGTTCAAAGTCTAATTGAGGTTAGTGCATATGTGTAATAGGTAAGGCTTGCATAATTTATGATTAATATACTAATCATGGTATGAATGACAGATAAGTAAAATTTATATTAAATAAGATTATTTACTAATGTTAATTGCAATATGATATCCAAAATCTCAAGGCCTATCTAGCAAAACCTACCACTAGGTAAAATTTTAAAAAATCTACCAAAACCTAGTGTATCCAGAAACATGCCCTGGGAACCATGGTTCTAAGCAGACGAACATGAGCAATGGAAAGAAATAGTGAAGCAGTTACACGACAGTGGGGCAGGACATTTTTGAAGGCCTTCACTGGCTTCCTCCCAAAAGAGGACTAACTCCCACCTGGCTAAGCACAGACTTAGCAATTAAACCCCTTCAGTCACAGGAAAAAACAGCAAATTGAAGGAGAAGAGGCCATAAGGATACACAGACACACTGTACAAGCTGGTAGTTCTGAGACAGGATTTCTGTTAAAAAGAACAATCCTAGCAAAACTATGAAAGTTCAATAAGTACTTTGCAGGTCAAAATCTAGTAAAATCTAGTCCATAGGGTATCCTTGCACCCTTCTATTCTAAGTTCTGTTCCTTGAATAAAATACACTGCTTTCTAATAATCCTTACACTCAAGCTGGCATGCTTATGTGAGAAGAGGAGGAAAGGGGAAGGAAGAGAGGAAGGAAGATAGGGAAAGAAAGAGGAAGGAAGGAAGGAAAGAAAGAAGAAAGGAAGGTAGGAGAGGAGAGGAGAGAGGAATGGAAAGGAAGTGCATATTTGTCTTTGAGCTAAAATTTCCCAAGGTAATTACTTTCATTCTATAAGACATACACCTCTATTTTCAAGGTAGAGCCCATATGACCAGAAATTGTTAAATGCAGTCTGTCAAGATTTACTTCCATTAAATTAAAAAGATTCTAAGCTTGGAAGAACTGGGGAAGGAAATGCTAAACCACTCTAGTATCTTTGCCAAGAAAGCCCTATAATGGGGTCACAAAGAGTGAGACACTACTGAACAACAACAGGCTTGAAAGACATCTGGAACATGTGTATGGGACACATCCAGAGTATGTGGCTCATTGTTAATTAGCATAGCTTCTTTTTTATTTATGAATTTATATTCTAGAGCAGACAGATCCTAGCTCAGCAACCTTTAGGATGCACTGGAGAAAGAGGAGGGAAGGAAGGAAGATGTTAACATCCTTATTTAAGAAGCTAGGGAGCCAAATAGTGACAGCATAATCAACAGTAAGGCATACTAGCCAAGAGCTAGGACTTCATTTTGAGAGCTGCCATGGGTTCTCTCCACATGTAATTGACCAATCTGTGCATCAGTTTCTCCACGTGTAAAATGAGATAAAATAATGCATGCAAAAATATTTGAATATCTTTTTAGAAACACAATAATTCACAGAGTTCCTAATCATAGAGCTAAGCAGAGAATTCAGACCTTTTGTCTCACTGTCCAGAGCTGATAAACTCTAAAGAAATTCTAATGTGTGAACTCCTTTTCAGCTTTGTTAACTCTGAAGACATGGAAGATAATTAAAAATAATAATAGTAGTAATAGTAGCCTTTATATAGTGCTTTAAGGTTTATAAAGCATTTTATAAATATCTCATTTTATCATCACAACTACTCTGGGAAGTAGGTACTACTATTATTTTCATTTTACAGATGAGGAAACTGAGGCACACAGAGGTCAAGTGACTTGCCCAGGATCACAAAGCTAGTAAGTATCTGGGGCTGGATTTGAATTGACTCAGGTCTCCCAGACTCCAGGGCTAGTGCTCTAATTACTGCACCAGCTAGATGGGCAGTGGAGGTGGCAAGGTGACACTAGTATCAGAACTAAAGATCAAATACTATTAGGTGACATTTATATTGTGCTTTATGTACATCATATCAGTTGATCCTGACAACAACTCTCTGAGGCAGGAAGTTCAAGTTATTATTGTCCCCAGTTTGCAAATGGGGAAAGTGAAATTAAATGAGGTAAACAGACTTGCCCAAGGTCGCACAGCTAGCAAGTAGTAGAGTTGGGACTCTAAATTCCATAGTTCCAAATCTGGTCCTATTTCAACCATAGCTAGGCCCCAATGAGTGCTAATAATGAGTCCCCTGAAATGGACACATTATCCAAATACACCTGGCATTTTTCATTGGGCTGGAACCAATTACCATATTTTATAAAATTATAACTTTGAATAGTATGAATTTGAATTCATGGACCACTTCATGGGATTCATTACACACACTAACCAGGACTTTACTATACATACATACATACATACATACATGTATGTATATATGTGTATATATATTATATATGTGTGTATATATGTATATACATATATATATATACATACACACACACATATATATGTATATACACTATACTACTAGAAAAAAATTATTTGGGAGCTTTACTTTACAGGCAAGCTGGGCTGAAATTTCTCATAAAACACTGAAAAGGAATTACCTTAAACATGACACTTACGCTTGGATGAGGCTGGACAGATCAGTCAGGCCTCCAACCCCAGCAGCAGGACCCCCAATGGCATTTGTCATCATTCCTGACATGCTAGAATATGCAAGAGAGAAGTTATAGGGACGGTTACACATTCTCAACAAACCAGTAATAGGGCTTGGTGCCTGGGGAGAGTGGGGTGAACCCAAAGCATAAAGAAAAAGAGGACTGGAGGTGGGTCATTTTGATTGAGAGCTCCTCAAAAAAGATGAGTTCAGAGTAATTGCTGGCAATGCCTTGAAGTTCTTACTCTCTCTCAAATGCCTAACTAACCCCCAAGTGTGAAGGTGATATGGAATATGCTTTGTTTCTCTCTCCTCCCTCCTATTCTCTCTTCTCTCTCTCTCTCTCTCTCTCTCTCTCTCTCTCTCTTCTCTCTCTCTCTCTCTCTCTCTCTCTCTCTTCTCTCTCTCTCTCTCTCTTTCTCTCTCTCTCTCTCTCTCTCTCAGAACATTCAAATACTCACAGTTGTTGAACTTGAGGATTCTGCATTAAACTCGCTGCCTGGAATAGACAGGAAATAACTCCCATTAAGTCAGAGTTTACAAGCACATTTTAAAAAGTGGGGTAGAGGTAGAAAGCATAAAGCGTGCATCTATATCTCGTGGAATTTGATTATAATGTGCAAGATAAGTGGGTGTGGAAAGAAAGATAAGATACTGAGAAAATGGCACTGAGGAATTACGTTCCAAGGGCAGAGAGATTTCAGATAACACTATCATGCTCCAATGAAGGCAGTCATTTTATTGACTAGGTACCTGAGTCAAAAGGAATGAGAACAAATTAAAGGTATGACCCAAAAAGCCCCTTTTATCAGAAGTGGCCCATTTGCCAATAAGAAGAGGGGAGGAGGGACCTCAGTAGGATCCAAAGGTTTTATTTCTTTTGCTTAAATGTCTGAATGCTTGTTCAAAAATACCATCCCAGGGGCAGCTAGGTGGCGCAATGGATAGAGCACCGGCCCTGAAGTCAGGAGGACCTGAGTTCAAATCTGGCCTCAGACCAAACACTTGACACTTACTAGCTGTGTGACCCTGGGCAAGTCACTTAACCCCAATTGCCAAAAAAAAAAAAAAGAGAGAGAAAAATACCATCCCATGTTCTGTTTTGGATGCATGCCCATTTTCTGCTTGGTACATTGGCAAAGGTTGGGACAATATTTATTATTTACAGCTATCAATCTGTAGATTACACTTCCTTCTTTATTCCCTGGCACTAAATGACAAGCGCTGAGAAAAACTCCCATTTGCTTTATTACCAAGTGTCAAGTGTTGTCCCTGTTCAAGGCTCCTAAACCCAGCTGCAGCCTTTATCCCTAAAAATGAGCAGCGTAATCCAAGGCCCAGAACGAGTACCATTTATGTTCATAAATGTCAGAATCAAGCAGCCACGTGTAAACCTGCCCACTTGTTGCTGTTGGCAGGGGGGATTGGGGACAGGCTCGGGGATGCTGAAGCTGGATGACCAAAGGGTTAAATGGCCAGACCTTGCATTGTAAACAGTGCTTTAGGTGGGGAGGAGGACGGGCAGGAGGAGGGGATAAAAAGGGAAAATCTAAGGAAACTGCTGTGGTAAAAACCTTCAGACATCCTTCTCCTGAAGGCAGTCTTTACTTTCACTCATTGCATCATACTTTCTGCGAAGCAGGCACTCAGCTACAAGAGCCATAGACAGAAGAAATCAAGCAGGTGTACTCACCATGCTAATGAAGGCTGGATTGTTGATCAAACTAGCCATGTCAAAGCTCAGTCCTGTTCCAGTCTGCAATGAAATTATGCCCCAAAATCACTCTACCCCATTATAGTTTAAAACAAAGCACAGACATGTCAGAGAAAAACACTGCAGCAAGCTATCATGAATAACTTACGGGACTGGCCACCTCCCTCAATTTCTGTTCTGCTATTTTCAAGTTAGACTTATAAGAATCATTTTCTGGGTCAAGATCCAATGCTTTTTGATAACTTGTAATTGCTTCTTCATATTTATTCATGGCAGTGAGGGCCAGCCTGAGAAGAAAAAAAGCAAATCAGGGTGGAAATCTAACATCATTCATTATTATTTCTGTTAATGTCAACACATCACAGAAGCTGTCCAAGCTTTCTATAATGCTAGGGATAGGAAAAATGGATTATATCTGTGACTTCATTGGTCCAGGGAACTCCAAGGTAAAGAACTTCCCCTTACCAATGCAGGTTGGCACCTTCCCACAAGTTATAGTCTTAGAAAATTGCCTAGAGCACTGAAATTAAGTGACTTGCCCAGAGTCACACAGCTAGTATATATCAGAGGCATAACTGAAATCCAGTCTTCCTGGACAGTTCTCCACTATACCACCTTGCTTCTTTTAATACCTACTCCATATCAGAGTTGGACCTCACAATCTGGTTGGAGGGAAGGATTCTATGAGTACAGGAACTTGCAGCCTAGCTCTAGGCCACTGAGGTGTCATGGTCAGCAAGACATCATCTCCATCTGTCCTTTCACTTTTAAGGGCAGTATTCTGCATGTTTTGTTTTATGGATGTCTAAATTAAGCTCTGCAAACACTCCAGCTGATTTAGATCCTATTCTAATCATACAGTTTCCGGTGTGCTAAACAATTTCCTGGGATAGACACTTTAAGGACTTTGGACTTGCTTCATGCTTTGCAGCAGAGAGAACAAACAAAAACTCTGAAGCACTGCTGAGAGAAAAAAAAAGGAACTGAGTTATCATTTCCCAGTATTCACCTCTATGCTACCAGCATAAACTGTGGACCTAAACATGAGTTTATCCTATTTCAGCCCAGCTCCACCTAGTCAGGATCCCTTTATTGGATAATCACCTTACAATCTTACTGAAAAACAAGGGCCAACTACGGTATAATCCCTAAACTGGGCTGTTTGTTGATTCTGTTTTAAAATCAGACTAATTCAATTCTAGCCTGATTGGCCAGCCACAGCCCTTCGCCATTTGGACAAGCTTCAGCACTCACTTAATACAGTTAATTATTCATAGTGCCAGAAGAATTAGCACTAGAAGCAAAAAGCTATTTTCTACCAGCGTGCCAACACAAAAAGATCAGAGGCCCTCATTCTGATTCTCTCACCTACAAACCACAGGGACTTAGGTCAGGTCTTTTTCCCTTCCCTCAACTATATTAAGTCTCCACATTAGTTCAGAGGATAAAATGTTCAATAACAAACAGCAGCAGAAAACTCCAAGACCAACTGGAACATCCTTCTAGAGAGCTTACCCCATTCTCCCATAGGCCTTGCTGTACTTGGAATCGATTTCTATCGCTCTCTCACAATCCTTTATTGCATCCATGTAGTGACCTAGTTTGCTTTGGGCAGCAGCCCTAAAAGGAGAGAGAGAGAGGGGAGAGACAGAGAGAGGGCAGACAGAGACAGACAGAAAGGAAGAGGGAAGGAGGGAAGGAGACAGAGATAGACAGACAAAGGGAGAGAGAAAAAGAAAAGAGGAAAGGAGAGGAGAGAGGAGGGGAGAGAGAGGGAGAGAGGGAAGGAAGGAAGACAGAAAGGGAGAGAGAGGAGGAGGGGAGGGAGACACAGAGAGAGATAGAGAGAGAGAGAGAAGAGGAGAGGGAAAGGACAGGAGAGGAAGGGAGGTAGAAGGAAAGGGAGAGAGGGAGGGAGGGGGAGAGAAGGGGAGAGAGAGAAGGAGAGAGGGGAGAGAAAGAGAGGGAGAGAGGGAGGGAGGGGGAGAAACAAAAATTTTTATCACCATTCTTAGAGACATAGATTTGAATCTTCAGAATCTTACAGGTGGAACACTTTTTTTTTTAACAGCATAGAGTAGTATTTCCTGAGCCAAACTGACTGTCAATAAAATCAGAAATAAAATAATTCTGAGAGTCTTACACTGTCAAGCAACCATATCAATTGTAAAAATACATTACACTAAATAAATAAATGCTGCTATTTCATTTTTAAGGAAGTTTCGGTGTTGCATCCCAAGGACATTAAGATCTAGAGGTCCTGTGAGGACACACAAACATTGAGAAGGAACACAGAGGGAAGCAGAGAGCCACATTTCTAGCTCCTTCACTGGCAGGCACAGTCAGTGGGTCCACAAGCCAGCACTGGGACATGGGACTCATGCTCTATACCCCCTTACACCTGCACCAGATGTGCGAGATGACTGGCCATCAGACTCCAAGGAAGAGCAGGCACAAAAATCGTGTCTTTGTGTTTAGCAGCTCTCGAAACTGAGAGTGCACTACCACAAAGGAAGAGCAGGTTTGAAATGACAATGCCAGGCAGAAGATAGAGGTCGAAAGTAGCAGAGCTGGTTTAAGCATGAAGCAAGCTAAAGTAATTAGTTCAAGGGGCAAGGAGGTCAGAGGCAGCTGGAAGTGAATCCTGCAAAGTCAGTGCAAGACTGTGTTTCTGATGCCCTCAAATGATCCTTGAAGCCCTATTCCTTCTGATTTTAAAGCACACACAAAAATGAAATTGAAAATACCAAGAAGTCAGGGTCAACAGAGAGTATAAGGAGGTCAATAGGGTGTAACTGTATGGGGCTTTCACTTCTCACTTTATATAGCCTGTATTGTATATAAAACAGCTCCAGCAACTGACAAGTATTTTATAAGTACTGCTACTAATAAAAAGCACCCTTCATAACAAAAACAAACAAAAAACTTCAGAATTACAAATTAGGATTTCTAATAGGAACATAAGATTTTAGAGCTGGAAGTAACCTTCATGACTATCTCCATTTCCCATCTCCAAGCCTTTGCACTAACCATCCATTATACCTGCCATGTACTCCTTCCTTACCACTTTTCAATACAATCCCTCTCTTCCTTTAAGAGGTAACTCAGATACCATGTTCTTTCTGCTCGTAGCCTTTCTTGATTCCTCCAGCTGCCAATGCCCTCTCTCCAATAGTAACTTACATTTAACTTGCATGTGTCTATGTATACACACATACATACATACATATTTATGAACTTTATATTTATGCTGTATAAATTTTTACATACACATGTTATGTAGAATGTAAGCTCATTTGCAATAGGGATGTTCCATTCTTTGCACTCGTATCCCCAGAGCCCAGCACAGTACCTGGCACAAAGCAGGCACTTAATAAATGTTTGGATTGATTGATCATCTAGCCCAACCCTTTCATTTGATTTATTTTTTTGTGAGGCAGTTGGGGTTAAGTGACTTGCCCAGGGTTGTGGTTTGTCCTTCATTCTTAAAGAGGACCATAACATCAGGAAGATGATGCCATGACTTACAAGTGAATTGGATTTAAGTGAGACAGGGCTATGCAAAGTCACCAGCCTCTCACTCTCTCCTCCTGGGTCCAGTGACCCATACAGCTAGTAAGTGTCAAGTGTCTGAAGCCACATTTGAACTCAGGTCTTCCTAACTCCAGGGCTGGTGCTCTATCCACTGTGCCATCTAGTTGCCCTTCTCATTTCATTTAGATGAAAAAATTGAGGCCCAGTGAGGTGCCAAAGACACAGGTTATAAGTAGCATGGCCAAGATTTGAAATCAGATCTCTCTAGCTTCAAATCCAAGACTCTTTCAAATACATCAGACTTCCCAATTCAAAGATTCTTCTCTGTTGATTAAATACATGGAGCATTGTGTGAAGGGGGTTGGATTGGAGCACAAACTACGGAAGCTATTTCAGAGCTCCCCTGGCAACTTCCATGGACACACATGGGACAATTCAACCCTGATTTGCCAATCTGGGATGACATAGTAAACCTGAGATCAAGGATTCTTAACCTCAGGTCCATGTACCTCCAGAACCATAGACAGATTTCAGGAAGTTTGTGAACTTGACTGGGAAAAAAATATATATCTTTATTTTCTGCTGTTCAGTTATTTTTCAGTTATTTCTGACTCTTTGTGACCCCATTTGGGGTTTTATTGGCAAAGATACTGGAGTGATTTGCCATTTCCTTTTCCAGCTATTTGACAGATGAGAAAACAGAGACAAACAGGGTTAAGTGACTTGCCCAGGGTCACACAGCTAGTAAGTGTCTAAGGCCAGATTTGAATTCAGGAAGATGAGTCTTCCTGACTCCAGGCCTGGCATTCTATCTACTGTGGCACCTAGCTGCCCTTCTTTATTTTCATCAACCTATAAATGAAATTTAACATTTCTTTCAATTGCTTAAAAATCTTCCCAGGAGTCTATAGGCTTCACCAGATTACTGAAGTAGTACATGACAGAAAAAGTTTAAGAATCCCTGCACTAGATGGTCCCTTTGTCCTTCACCCCATCAGAGCAAAAAGAGGGGTAAGGAGGCTGGATCTGAGTATTGGCCACTCAGTAAGTTTTAGATAAATTCTTATAATTTTAAGTAAAGTTCCGTTTATTCTATGCTTTCTAATGTTTTTAATAGGAATGCATCTTGTATTTTGTCAAAGGTTTTTTCTGTATCTTTTGAGATAATCATATGATTTCTGTTGGTTTTGTTATTGATATGGTCAATTATGCTGATAGTTTTCCTAATATTGAAACAGCCCTGTATCCATGATATAAATCTCCCCTGGTCATAGTATATGATTCTTGTAATATGTTGCTGTAATCTTTTTGCTAGTATTTTAGTTAAAATTTTTGCATTAATGTTCAATAGGGAAATTGGTCTATGATTCTCTTCCCCTGTTTTGGTTCTTCCCAATTTAGGTATCAGCATTTGTATCATAAAAGGAATTTGGTAGGACTCTGCCTATTTTTCCAAATAGCTTACATAGTATTGGGATTAATTATTCTTTAAATGTTTGATAGAATTCACTTGTGAATCCATCTGGTCCTGGGGATTTTTTCTTAGGAAGTTCATTGATGGCTTGTTCAATTTCTTTTCCTAAGATTGGGTTATTTAAGTATTTTATTTCTTCTGTTAATCTGGGTAATTTATATTTTTGTAGAAATCCATCCATTTCATTGAGACTGGCAAATTTATTGGCATATAACTGGGCAAAATAGCTCCTAACAACTGTCTTAATTTCCTCTTAAATGGTGAATTCACTCCTTTCATTTTTGATAGTAGTAATCTGGTTTTCTTCTTTTTTTTTTAATCACATTAACCAATGGTTTATCTATTTTATTGGTTTCTTCATAAAACCACCTCCTAGTTTTATTAGTTCAATGGTTTTCTTACTTTCAATTTCATTCATCTCTCCTTTGATTTGCAGGATTTCTAATTTGGTATTTAATTGCAGATTTTTAATTTGTTCCTTTTCTTGTTTTTTTAGTTGCATACCCAATTTGTTGATTTGCTTTTTCCTCTATTTTTACTGATGTAAACAATTAAAGATATAAATTTCCCCCTATGTACCACTTTGGTTGCATACCATAAATTTTGATATGTTGTCTCATTGTTGTTATTTTCTTTAATGAAATTATCAAATGTTTCTATGATTTGTTCTTTGACCCACTTATTTTTTAGGATTAGATTATTTAATTTCCAGTTAATTTTTAATTTCTCTTTCTATTGTCCATTATTGAATATCATTTTTATTGCACTGTGATCTGAAAAGGATGCATTTACTATTTCTGCCTTTCTGCATTTGATTGTGAGGTTTTTATGTCCTAATACATGGTTAATTTTTGTGTAAGTGCCATGTATTGTTGTGAAAAAGGTATATTCCTTGCTATTCCCATTCGATTTTCTCCAGAGATCTATCATATCTAACTTTTCTAGAATTTTATTCATCTCCTTAACTTCTTTTTTATTTTTTGGCTAGATTTATCTAGTTCTGAGAGGGGAAAGTTGAGGTCTCCCAGTAGTTTAGTTTTATTATCTATTTCCCCTTGTAACTCATTCAACTTCAAAAATTTGGATGCTATACCATTTGGTGCATATATGTTTAGTACTGATATGACTTCATTGTCTATGGTACCTTTCAGCAAGATATAATTTCCTTACTTTTCTCTTTTAAAAAGATCTATTTTTGCTTTTGCTTTGCCTGAAATCATGATTGCTATCCCTGCAATCATGATTGCTATCCCTACTTTCTTTGCTTCAGCTGAAGCATAATAAATTCTGCTCCAGCCTCTTACCTTTATTCTGTGTGTATCCCTCTGCTTCAAATATGTTTCTTGTAGGATTCTGGTTTGTAATCCATTCTGCTATCTACTTCCATTTTGTGGGTAAATTTATCCCATTCACATTTATATGATAACTAACTGTGTGTTTCCCTCCATGCTATTTTTTCCTTGTTTATCTCCCTCTTTCTCTTACCTCCCCCCCATTTCCCTCCTCACAAGTATTTTACTTCTGATCACCACCTTCCTCAATCCACTCTCCCTTTTAATCGTTCCCCCTCTCCCTTCTATTATCCCCTTTTTACTTCCTTATAGGGTAAGAT